CCCCAAGCACAAGCTGACAGTCGCTTCCCTCACGGGTCCCTTGTCAGATTTTTTTTGAAAATAAGTTTTTTATTGTTTTTGTTAATAACAGTAACATTACATACATCAAATACTTTTTGATTCTAAATTAATAAGGATAATTCCATACACTCTTAACATCCATTCTCGCCATACAGCACTAGTGAGTTACCATGAGTCTGACCAGTATAGATTACCTGCTATATCCTATAAATATAACCATTTATGATAGATCTACTTAGCAGGAAGAATATCCTTCGTTGCCATGTAGTCTAACACAGGGGCCCAAGTCCTAACAAATTTGGTGTAGGTTGGCGCGTTGCTGTTATTCGCTCTCATCAGGGAGTCTGTAATTTTTGCCATTATAAACTGATCCCAAATTTTCTCTTGCCAAGTTGAAATTGTAGGGAGATAAGGAGATTTCCAAGCCGCTGCTATTAACCTGTCTGCAGCTAATAACGTTGAAATAAGTTCCTTACTGCCCCCTGTACTCCAATTTTTCCAGAGATTTAACAGCACCACTTCCGGATTGCATGGTAATGTCTGCCTGGTTATCTCATTTATCTGAGATATCACACTTCTCCAAAAGGATTGAATTCCTAGACAGCTCCACCAGCAATGATAGTATGTCCCTATCTGACCACACTGCTTCCAGCAAACATTACTCATTGATGGTTTAATTTTATGTAGCTGTTGTGGAGTAAGGTACCAACGAGAAGTCAATTTGAAGAATTGAAGACGAAGATGAATGCATGCTGTCCAGGTTCCCCCGTGCCACAGTCAGAGAGCAAAGGCAAATGAAATGTTTTTGTGGCGCTTGAACCACAAACATTAGTTTACATAAAACACTTTAGTTTAGATTAGATAAAACACTTTAGAGAGCTCAGTCCAGTAAAAATTTAAACATAAGATGGCAAACCCTTAAAGTTGCTAACCAATCTGAGGAAAATTCCCTTCCTGCCCAAATTATGGTAATTATTTAGGTCCTAAATGTGAAAGTAACATGCCTGTTTATATTTATTTATTTATTCTTTAGATTTGTATCCCCCCTCCCCGGAGGCTCAGGGCGGCTAACTAGGGCATAAAAGAACAGTATAAAAATACAATACAATATACAACATAATACAATTAATAAAATATTGGTGCTCTACTACTCACTCCAGTTCATAAGATCAAGATGGTGTTCTACAGATGTTAAAACAATACAACGACCGTATATGTCCCCACAACCCTGTCATCCGCCAGGTACGTCTCGCACCCCCGATGAAACCCGCACCAGCGGTGGTAAGGGTGCGGTGATGGAAAAAGCGTTGATGGAATAATGGTGGCGGCGGCTCCTACTCGAAAGCCTGGCAGAAGAGCTCCGTTTTACAGGCCCTGCGGAACTGCCCAAGGTCCCGCAGGGCCCGGATCTCTTCTGGGAGCTCATTCCACCAGGTAGGAGCCACCACCGAAAACGCCCTGGCCCTGGTCACAGCGAGTTTGATGTTCTTGAGGCCTGGAATATCCAGGAGATTTTGGGTGCCCGACCGTAGTGCCCTTGGGGGAATATGCGGGGAAAGGCGGTCCCTTAGGTAGGCTGGACCCTGGCCATCTAGGGCTTTAAAGGTAAGAACCAGCACTTTGAAGCGAATCTGGTACGCCACTGGCAGCCAGTGCAGCGCTTTCAGCACAGGCTGGATGTGATCCCGTCTAGGGAGACCCATCAACAGCCTGGCTGCAGCATTCTGCACTAGCTGCAGCCTCCGAATTTGCGACAAAGGCAGCCCCATGTAGAGAGTGTTACAGTAGTCTAACCTTGAGGTGACCGTCGCATGGATCACTGTGGCCAGGTCGTCACGGTCGAGGAAGGGGACCAACTGCCGTGCCAGCCGAAGATGGTAAAAGGCCGACTTGGCAGTGGCTGCTACCTGGGCCTCCATTGTTAGAGAGGAGTGCAGGAGCACACCCAAACTCCTAATCTCCGATGCCAGCACCAAAGGCGCCCCGTTGAAGGCCGGGAGAGGGAGCCCCAGCCCTGAACTGATCCGACTCAGACCTAGGATTATTTATTTTTTGTCAGATATAAATTTTATATAAATGGGATTTCAGGAGAGAGAATACTTCTGCATTCCTCTTAACAGGAGTCCACATTTTTTGCCCATAACAGTTTCAAGGAAAACAAGATGGCAGAGGAACCGGGGGATGAAAAGAAACTGGTGGCCAAGTTTGAGCTGGAGAGGGAAACAGAGCTCCGCTTCGAGGTTGAAGCCTCACAAACTGTCCAGCTGGAGCTCCTGACAGGCATGGCTGAGATCTTTGGAACTGAACTGACACGCAACAAGAAATTCACCTTTGATGCTGGTGCTAAAGTGGCTGTCTTTACCTGGCATGGCTGTTCGGTGCAGCTGACTGGCCGGACTGAAGTGGCCTATGTGTCCAAAGACACCCCCATGCTGCTGTACCTCAACACCCATACAGCCCTGGAGCAAATGCGGTGGCAAGCGGAATGTGAAGATGAACGGGGGCCTCGGGTCATGGTGGTGGGCCCCACAGATGTAGGCAAGTCAACTGTTTGCCGCCTGCTACTGAATTATGCTGTGCGCTTAGGGCGCCGACCCACATTTGTAGAGCTAGATGTAGGCCAGGGCTCAATCTCGATCCCAGGCACTATGGGGGCTCTCTACATTGAGCGTCCTGCAGATGTTGAAGAAGGCTTCTCCGTTCAGGCCCCCCTGGTGTATCACTTTGGGTCCACCACGCCTGGTACTAACATCAAGCTCTATAATAAGGTGAGTAAGAGGTTTGGAGTCATGTGTGATGTAGTGATCCTCTGCATCCATCCTGAGCCTGCTGGCATGTGAGGGGATACTCTGTCCTCCATCAGTAATAATAATAATCTATATACTAATAGCCTAGTTGTCCCCGTGAGTGCGAATCGTTAAATCCGTGCTCCGGGGGCAGTTGGGGGGGAGGGGGAGGT